AGCACAGAGACCTAACCTAATATTTCGAGGCTCTATCGCAAATTCAGGGTATGTTCTATCAAAATGTTTCCATGCCTCTGCATCTTAAGGATGACACATTAGACCCTCTTCTGTTTCATGATTTGCATGCCAAGTCATGTATTCAGCAGTGGCTTGAGACGCATAAAGTCTTTGTAATCTGGGGATTAAGGGCAGATAAAACATTTGCTTGCATGGTCTACGCTTCTGATTACGACCTTGCCTCCTGTTCCTGTTAATCTTGTACCTAGGTTGGCTACAGAATTTGCAAGATTCTGCATTTTCATCATCTCTCCAATATAACATACAACCCCTACTACATACATCAATCCTTTCAACTGGAAGACCTAAGTTATCCACTAACTTCTTCATATCGTAAAAATCACTTGGCATTATGTTATCACGAGGCATTGCTTCTCGCATTACTTCAATAAAAGAGTTAAAGCAATTCTCAGACACATTATGCTCTGCCTTGATATTTAACAATCTTGCTGTCACTGATAACGAAGTGTGATTGTCACAACCTGCCCATAAAGGTTCATCTGCTGCTTTCAACACTTCCCAGAACTGATTAGATGGAAACGTTTCATTACACACATTCTCATCAAAACCTGTTACTCCTATCTCTTCAAATTGTTCAAGTCTTGGAGTAAAACTAGTACTTGCATGGTTTGGATCTGAATTATGACCAGCTGCATCAATCACCATCCTCTGGTATGGGTTCATTTGGTCATAATAGCTACATTCTTCCCTAACTGAAAATTGGTCACTTATTCGATATCCTTCATCAGATATAAATGGTTCACCATGACAAGTCCAATTATAGTAGTTCGAAGTAAATCCAAATCTACAAAGATGTTCTCTAACTGTATCACATACATGAAATTTACCATTACTGCACTTTCTACACGGATACCTTAACTTATTTTCATCCATCAACTCATATTTACTACTAGCAAAGTCCAAAAATAGTTCCAACCCAGTACGAAACTCATCGGTCAATCCTCGACGTCCAGGTAAGTTCTTATTATACATCCAAGCCCTGTCTCTTTGCATTGTCTATATAAAAATAACAAAATCTCGTAAAATATTAATGCGAACAAATTTTCGATATTAAAACCATAAAATTCTAAAAATTAAAATTTTGTTTTTGCCTAAACAATTATTTTGAAATTGAAAAAATTAAAACAATTGACTTACCCAAGTATTTGACTGAAATCTTTGTAGTACAAAGTGCTCAATTTGATGAGAATTGCAACGTTCACTTCATCCGCGAGACTTTCAAACGAATACGTACCTACAAAAAAAAATTGACTTCAGATTTTATTCTTTTATAATAATTTTTTTCCCCAATTTTTTTTTAATAATTTTTTTTTCGAATTTTTTTCCCAAATTTTTTTTCCTTCATTTTTTTCTCCGGCCGGCGAATTGGACCTCGCCGGCCATGGCCAGATCTGGACCTCGCGGCGAGGTCCAGCGGCCGCCGCTCGACCTCGCCGCGAGGTCCAGCGGCGGCCATGGCGAGGCCCAAGCTCGACCTCGGCGCCTAGAGCGGCCATGGCCGCCGCCGACCTCGGCGCCCGGATCCGGGCGGCAAGGTCGAGCGGCCATGGCCGCCGCCGGACCTCGCGGCGAGATCGAGCGGCGGCCATGGCGAGGCCAGCCGACCTCGCCGCCCGGATCCGGGCGCCAAGGTCGAGCGACCATGGCCGCCGCTCGACCTCACCGCGAGGTCGAGCGGCGGCCATGGTGAGGCCTAAGCTCGACCTCGCCGCCCAGATCTGGGCGCCGAGGTCGAGCGGCGGCCATGGCGAGGCCCAAGCTCGACCTCGCCGCCTAGATCTGGGCGGCGAGGTCGAGCGGCCATGGCTGCCGCTCGACCTCGCCGCGAGGTCCAGATCTGGCCATGGCCGCCGCTGGACCTTGCGGCGAGGTCTAGCGCCAGGCCCCAAGGCGAGGCCGCTCGGCCTTTCCTAGATCTGGGCGAGGTCCAGCGGCCCCGCCCATGGCCGGCGAGTCTCGCCGGTCGCCGGTTGCCGGTTGCCGGACCGGCGACGAAGTCAGAAAAAAAAAGAGAAAAAAAAAACTCAATAAAATAACAAAAATTTGAAAATAGTTTTGCCCAAATTAATCACACCACTTACCGATAGAAAAGGTTCACCGAGATAGATTTTTGCGCGTGCGGAGAGATTTATCGAGAGGAAGGGATAACAGCGAATAGGGAGAGGAAGGGAGAACAGCTAATAGGGATAAGAGGAATTAGCAGAGAGAGAGAAATTGGGTCTACAAGTAGAGGAGAATTAGCGACGAATAACAATTCGTCGCTAATTCCGTCGCAAAATAACCACGAATTTTTTTTCGTGGTAAATTTCGTCGCAAATTAGCGACGACATTTATTTTTCGTCGCAAATTAGAAACGGAAAAACATTCGTCGGCAATTTCGTCGCAAATTAGCCACGAATTTTTTTTCGTGGCAAATTCCGTCGCAAATTCGCGACGAATGTTTTTTCGTGGCAAATTCCGTCGCAAATTAGCCACGAATTTTTTTTCGTGGCAAATTCCGTCGCAAATTAGCCACGAATTTTTTTCTTGGCAAAATCCGTCGCAAATTTTCCACGAATTTTTTTTTGTGGTAAATTTCGTCGCAAATTTGCGACGATTTTTTTTCCGTGGCATATTCCGTCGTAAATTAGCCACGAATTTTTTTTCGTCACAAAATTCGTCGGAAATTTGCGACGAATTATTTTTCATGGCTAATTTGCGACGGAAAATATATTCGTCACAAATTGCATTGCAATTAGCCACGAAAAATAATTCGTCGCAAATTTCCGTGGCTAAATCCTTGTTTTTTTGTAGTGACAGGGCTAAGTTTGAGGAAATATTTGGTGAAAGTCTTCGAAGGCGAGGAGGTCGTCTCGGAAATATATTATATGATTGCGTGCTCTATAGATGTTGGACGTGTTGGACAACTTAATATATGTTCCACTGCCATTACTCTGTTATTGTGTTCCACTTGCCTGGAAGTCACCCACGGCCTTCCTTCATAACATTTCTTTTTTATTTTTTTTTCTTTTCATTTTTTTTCTCTTCTTCCTCCTTCAAGTCTTCCATGGCTGTTGGCTCGCATTCAGGCGTCTTCTTGGCAAGCTCTTCAGACCGGGCTATCCATGGCCATCGGCTGCGAAACGAGCCATCGTTGCACGTGGCCATGGCTTGAGCTGATCTTCGTTCATCACGAACTCCTCCATGAGCCGGTAGTCATTATTCCGCTATCACTTCAATAGCCAAAGGTTGCACTTGGTCAACAGCGTAACGGTTGGGCCTCATAGCAGCCTCCGGCCCTTTCGATTCTGCTGCTTTCGGCCCGACGTTTGAGGGCGGTGCCGCCAGCTCAAACTTCTTCTTCTTGTCGGAACCGTGCTACCTGCGGTTGCCGGACTAGCAATTCATGGTTTTCTTGTCGAGCTATCCCATGGCTCTTTGGGGGGGCTAAATCAAGTTATTGAGAAAGAGATCGAAGAGTTTTGGGATTAAGTTAAATATATGCTTTTGAGTGTAAAGAGAGAGACAACGGCTCGTTTAGTGCCGGTGGCCATGGACGGCTATCTGAAAAGTGGGCCAAGGCGACGCTTGAATGCCCATGGTCATGTAAGATGGCCAGATTTGGAGGTGAGCTTGAGACCTGCAACTTCCCTCCAAGAATCAAGAAGATGAACAATGAAAAGATGGGAAAAAAAAAGAAAAAAAAATGACTATGGACAAAAATGCCCCTACTCGTGCTACCGGAATAAGCATATGTACTTGCCAACCGGGGAGCTTAATCTCTTGTTTGAGACCAAATGGCCACTTCGGACCCATATTTGAAATTAAACGGTTAGACCAAATTGAATTGCACGACGATTTTGTTCAGACTCATGTCCATCTTCATGATATGTCTAAGTTTGTTTTCGGTTCAATTGTCATATAGAGTCTTAGATCATTCCAAGCTAAGGTTGAGAAGCAACTTAGCTTTCTCGTTCTTTTGGAAATTGTCAAAATAAGTGCATAGGAAGTAACGCATTTGTGTCTCTATATTTCCCCTTTATGTCCATCGATGGTCTATTTGAGATTGTAATAGTGATTGCTTCAATAAAGAGATCAATGCCGTCCATATCTTATTCAAGGTTTTGACTTTGTCCGTGCATACACATTTATAAATGATATTGTAGGCCACGACAATCCTGGAAATAATTATCCAGCCGAAATTATGAGGTTTCAACCCGACATTTTGATTGTAGATGGAAAATGAGTGCAGGAAAGATTTTTCTTCTGGCCATACTAAAGAAAAAGTAAAGTTATCTGCAGAATTTAGTATGTCGGTAAAAAAATGAGAAATGTCGTCAGCAGTAATTTATCAAACTTGAATTTGATACTCTAAGGAAATTGACATATTGTGGTGAACTTCTCCTTTCAAGATAATGATGGAAACAAAGCGGTTCTTTTTTATTTTTGGCCACCTAAGGGCCGGATGTATTAACAATCGCCCTGATGATTTCTTTAAATAGTCTCTGTACTCAATCACAAGACTGTTTTAAATCAGACTATTTAATAGGGTTGGACATTCTTTGCATGATACCCTTTTTGGAGTACAAATTCCGTTGATGTGGGAAGCAATATTTACTATTAGATAACATCCTTCCCAGTTCCGAATTGTACATAGTTTAATGTTATTGCACTCTGATTTTCCATTTATAGACATTTTAATTGAGGAATGAGTCCAATTATCCTGATCGTGTCATGAGAGAGAGAGAGAGAGAGAGAGAGAGAGGTAACAATCTTTTATTGGATACCAGTCGAGAGAGAGGTAACAATGATTTACTCGAAATCAATAATACATGTGGTATGTAGTTTAGTTATGTGTCTAACACAACCACTTATGGAAATAAGATTAATCTCGTAACTCTTATAATTCAATTATTTTGTGTAACTTATGATAGATTCATTTAGTTGTTGTCGTACCAAAATTGCGCCCGGAGATAGTCAACAACCTTCTTGTCCACTTGGAAGGCCTTGGTAAGAACATCAGCAGAAATGGGTGGCTTCGCTCCGAAGACAGCATTAGCAATGGTAATGACTCCTGGGTTCTGGCTGCTAAGACCGGAAAAGGCTAGCGCATACGTGTTTCCGATATTCAACTGGAAGTGAATGAGACCAATAGGGAACACAAACACGTCCCCCTTGTACAGGACTTTGGTGAAGAGTGTGTTGTTTAATTGATTGGACGTGACAAAGCCAACAAGTAGCGTACCCTCCACCACTACCAAAACCTCGGTGCCACGAGGGTGAGTGTGGGGAGGATTTAGGCCGCCAGGAGCGAAGTCAATGCGAACCATGGATATTCCAAGAGTGTTGAGTCCTGGAAATTGGTCGACAAAAGCCTGTGTGACTTTTGATCCGAGCGGATTCGATGTGTTTCCAGGAGTTCGAACCCCATAAAGACGAAATCATCAGCTGTGGTTTCTTTGGGATCCTTGCAGAACTTTCCATTCACAAATACTGCATAAGAAAAAAAATTGGCGTCTCAGTTTCGGCATCATAAGGCAGATATGAAATACATGACTAATGCAAGAATTGAGGAACCAACCTCCAGATTCCATATCACTGGTTGCCACGCATATGTCCTGAAGAGGACTCGGGTCGTAAGCTAAAGCGGCGGCAGTTGCTAAAGCCAATATGAGAAAGCTAATGGGAAGAAACTTCATTGTGGTTGTGAACAGGAGTTGGGGCCTTGATCGCAGGTTCTAATCCTTGCACAGACTAGTATTGCTTGAGGGAGGAGTGAGGACTTGCATGGCAACATGCTCTCTCTTTATAGATGAAAATGTTTGACCCAGTGTTTAGTTTGCCAGCAGGTTTTCATGCAGATTACTACCAAGTCTTCTGAGGTTTTATCTATTTTCCCCTTCTCACCCTATAACAACTCCGACGACTTGGCGATTTGTTTCATTTCCTCTCCTCCAGCTTAAAGAATGCATATCACCTGATATTGAAATGGTCTTTGATGAATTTTTGAATCCTCGTACCATTTCTTCTTTGTTTCTTTTACAACTCTTTTACCACTCCAAGAAGATTACCAAGTAAAGAGCATATCTTGTGCAGGGTTTAATATCTGACAAAGACTGAAAATATCTAGAAATGCACTCTATTGTCGCACAAAAGTTGATGAGCTCAGTATTTTAGATATGATAAGCTCAACGCGGATGATTTGATCATTTCATACAAATTTTCTTATTTTGCATCATAATAATTTTAGTAGATTTTCTTTTTCCCGAGCTAGGTTTGTGGGTGGTAGGAAATAAGATCCTGTTCTTCTCCCAAGCTGCCACTTGTCAGCAGCCAAATGAAAAGAAGATTTTACTTCCATTTTCTTTATAAGACATGACTTACTTAATGATTAAAGGTGCGATTATATGGAGATATAGTTTATTGGGGAAGTTACCCTGCATATTACCATGTTTTCAAAGTAGAATCTATTTCCCGCTTCTGAAGTCCAAGGATGAACCGTTCCATAACAACTGCGAGAACTTGGTGATTCGTTTGATTTCCTCTCCCTCCAGCTTGAAGAAGGCACGTCGTCCGATATGGAAGTGGTCTTCGATAACTTTTACATCCTTGTACCGTTTTTTCTTCACTTTTCTTGTGAAAAAGGTAAAACTGTCTAGCATCATCAATGCAGCCTGATCAAGTAAAGACCATTTCTTTTGCGACAATGGGATATCTCCAAAAGATTGAACTGGTTATCTAGATTGCAAAAGGAGAACAATATCTGTAATGACCCGGTCCGACGAGGGCGGGGAGTGGTCGCCGGGGCCAGAGGGCCTGGACAAGGAGCGGCTCCTGGCAGGCTTCTAGGATGGCAAGGGGGGGCATGTCTCTTGTCCCACATCGCTTAGGGGGGAGTCCTGGGCTAGTTTATAAGGCTTGGGTTCTCTACTCTGTGTAACGCGTTTTAAAGCCGTGAGGGTCAGTGGGCCCAAAGCGGACAATATTACACAGTGTAGACCCCGGGTCCTTACAATATCCATATCCATCTTCATCCCGAAAATACTCTTGTCATCGATGTCCCCATCTTTGTTACCCAATACCAAAGTTCTTCACATTTACTTGGTTGCATTGCACTCTTTCATTGCCCCAAAATGGATAAAATAATCATTCCTGCATAAACAATAAGCTCATTACCGCGGTTTGACCATTTAATGTCATTGGCGCCTTTTTTTTCTGTTTTCCCGAGCATGGTTCGCGGATTGTAGGTAATAAGAGACTGTTCTTGTCCCAAGCTGCCACTTCTCTGCATCCTAATGAAAAGAGAGTCATAGGTCGACTTTGTTTATAAGCATTTAATGATATTCTAGTGGCTTCCAGAGCTTATAAGTCATGACTTAGTTGAGGATTAAGGGGGCCATTATTTCTTTTTGAAACTAAGATCGAGCAGTACCTGACTCCATGGTTTGAGAAATACCACGTGATCGTCATTCTTGAGGAGAACAAATTCAGCTGACTCTGAGAGCAGGTTTAGATTGGCCTTCAGCCAGGCATTTCAATTCTCAACTGTCAATGAGAGGCAACCGTAGCAAATACATTTCGTCTCTTTCGTACTCCTAATGAAGTACTTGAATCATAAGAGCTCCCACCGAATTGCTCCGGAAACGGTATTCACAGAAAGGCAGAAGTCGAACTATGAAACAAGTCAGCAACAAGCATTGATTTTGATGACAATCCTGATGTGGATTGGGACTGTCACGCCCCCCAACCCCATCGAGCACGCGACATCCCTCTTCGGTCGAAATAGTGCGACGTCCCAGGAAACGTCGCCGACCCAAAAGAAATCCATCAGAGTTTAATCGCGGCGGAAACTACGACCACCCAGACAATGATTTACCAGGGGTACTAAAGAGAATAAATTGCCAAACCACCAAATCTTATACTATACCTCAATTTAAGTACAATATCCATTTACAGTAAAAACTTATGCCACAATCGCCATTTACAAACCACAAAGCAAATATGCACATTGAACTACTAAACTGCAACCCACCGATATCACAAAAGATTAGTAGCCTGGGAACGCTACACCAAAATAGGACACTTCCGGACTCTTCCTCGCCTCCGAAACTAATCCCTACGCCCTCTCTGGCGTCCACTCGACTCACTCTCTTCGGAATCCTCATCCGAATCCTCATCGAGCAGTGCTCATCCGACGACTCCGAATCGGCCTCAATCTCGATCGGGAACTCTACCACATCATGATTAGTATGCATAACAATCCCAAAATGCTGTAGCGGCGGCGACGGAAGGTTCATAGCTTGGGCGGGTGCTCTGAAATGGTTTGGTTGGTACAACCATGAGACACTTCTCAATAAGTACACAACCTAAACCTTACCTAGGCTACCACGTATTCCAGACAAGTCGAGACACCAAATCAAGCCACACACAAACAACGTCCACACAATCGTACTTACCTGATTCTCAATATACGCAACCTGCACATTAGTCTTATAATAGCACTATTCCACTCATATGCATGTTCTAATGACATTTCATGCATTTGTTCCCGTTTCATCGCATCTTTTCCACCTCACTCACCAGTGACCCGCGTAATGGTACCGCCTCAGGTTCACTGCGACCATCTCATATACACAACACTCCAGGGCCCGCGTAATGGTACCGCCTCAGGCTCAACATCCGTTCTCCTAGTGCACAACCCACGTAATGGTACCGCCTCAGGTTGGCCATATTCCCAGCACTCCTCGGCCCACGTTACAGTACATGCCTCAAGCCATGTCTCTCGCCCGCGTTACAGTACGCGCCTCAGGCTCAACATCTACCACCTACGGCACAACCCGCGTTGAAGTACACGCTTCGGGAGAGAGAGAGAGAGAGAGAGAGAGAGAGAGAGAGAGAGAGAGGTAATAATATTTTATTTGAAATCAGTCGAGAGAGGTAACAATCTTTTATTCGAAATAAGGCATACATGTGGTATGTAGTCTAGTTATGTGTGTCTAGAGCAACCACTTATGGAAATAAGATTAATTTTACAAGTCTCATAATTCAATCATTTTGTGTAACTTATGACAGATTCATTTAGTTGTTGTCGTACCAAAACTGCGCCTGGAGGTAGTCAACAACCTTCTTGTCCACTTGGAAGGCCTTGGTAAGAACATCAGCAGAAATGGGTGGCTTCGCTCCAAAAACATTATTAGCAATGACAATGAGTCCTGGGTTCTGGCTGCTAAGACCGGAAAAGGCCAGTGCATACGTGTTTCCGATATTCAACTGGAAGTGAATGAGACCAATAGGGAACACAAACACGTCCCCCTTGTACAGGACTTTGGTGAAGAGTGTGTTGTTTAATTGGTTGGACGTGACAAAGCCAACAAGTAGCGTACCCTCCACCACGACCAGAACCTCGGTGCCACGAGGGTGAGTGTGGGGAGGATTTAGGCCGCCGGGAGCGAAGTCAATGCGAGCCATGGATATTCCAAGAGTGTTGAGTCCTGGAATTGGTCGACAAAAGCCTGTGTGACTTTTGATCCGAGCGGATTCGATGTGTTTCCAGGCGTTCTGAACCCCATAAAGACGAAATCATCAGCCGTGGTTTCTTTTGGGTCCTTGCAGAACTTTCCATTCACAAATACTGCATAAGAAAAAAAATTGGTGTTTCAGTTTCGACATCATAAGCCAGAAATGAAATACATGACTAATGCAAGAATTGAGGAACCAACCTCCAGATTCCATATCATTGGTTCCCACGCATATGTCCTGAAGAGGACTCGGGTCGTAAGCTAAAGCAGCGACAGTTGCTAAAGCCAAGATGAGAAAGCTAATGGGAAGAAACTTCATTGTGGTTGTGAACAGGAGTTGGGGCCTTGATCGCGAGTTCTAATCCTTGCACAGACTAGTATTGCTTGAGGGAGGAGTGAGGACTTGCATGGCAACATGCTCTCTCTTTATAGATGAAAATGTTTGACCCAGTATTTGGTTCATCAGAAGGTTTTCATGCAGATTCCTACCAAATCTTCAGAGGTTTTATCTATTTTCCCCTTCTCACCCTATAACAACTACGACGACTTGGCCATTTGTTTCTTATCACCTGATTTTTTTTTTGGTAAGGTAAATTATCACCTGATTTTGAAATGGTCTTTGATGAATTTTTGAATCCTCGTACCGTTTCTTCTTTGTTTCTTTTACAACTCTTTTACCACTCAAAGAAGACCGAAAATATCTAGAAATGCGCTCTCTTGTCGCACAAAAGTTGATGAGCTTCGTATTTCAGATATGATAAGCTCATCGATGATGATTTGATCATTTAATACAATTTTTCTTACTTTTCATAAAATACTTTTGGTAGATTTTCTTTTTCCCGAGCTAGGTTCGTGGGTGGTAGGAAATTAATAAAATCCTGTTCTTCTCCCAAACTGCCACTTGTCAGCTGCCGAATGAAAAGAAGGTTTTAGCTCCACTTTCTTTATAAGACATGACTTACTTAATGATTCAAGGTGCGATTATATGGAGATATAGTTTATTGGGGAAGCTACCCTGCATATTACCAAGTCTCAAGTCCATGGATGAACCGTTCGACAACAACTGCGACGACTTGGTGATTCGTTTGATTTCCTCTCCCTCCAGCTTGAAGAAGGCACGTCGTCTGATACGGAAGTGGTCTTCGATAACTTTTACATCCTTGTGCCGTTTTTTCTTCACTTTTCTTGTGAAAAATGGTAAACTCTCTAGCATAATCAATACAGCCTGATCAAGTAAAGACCATTTGTTCTGCGACAATGACATATCTCGAAAAGAACGAATTGGTTATCTAGATTGCAAAAGGAAAACAATATCCATATCCATCTTTATCCCGAAAATACTTTTGCCATCGATGTCCCCCATCTTTGTTACCCAATACCAAAGTTCTTAACATTTACTTGGTTGCATTGCACTCTTTTGTTGCACCAAAATGGATAAAATAAGCATTCTTGCACAAACGATAAGTTCATTACCGCGGTTTGACCATTTAAGGTCATTGGCACCTTTTTTTTTTTTTTTTTTTCTGTTTTCCCGTGCATGGTTCGTGGATTGTAGGTAATAAGAGACTGTTCTTGTCCCAAGCTGCCACTTCTCTGCATCCTAATGAAAAGAAAGTCATAGATCGACTTTGTTTATGAGCATTTAATCCGTTGGCCATCAACGAGACCTGGCGATGGCTAGGAGAGGGAAAAAGGAAAAAGGAAAAAAGAAAAAAGAAAAAGAAAAAGAAGAGAAGAGGAGGAGGTCGTCTCGAAAATATATTATATTATTGCATGTTAGTTGGATGTTGGGCGTATTATACAACTTAATATATTCTCCAATTACCATTATTTTGTTATCATGTTCCACTTGTTTGGAAGTTACCCGGGGCTTTCCTTCATCAGTTAAAAAATACCATTCAGACTAAGCACCAAACACACACTACAAAAAAGCCGGGTTTTGCCACGAATTTTGCCACGAAAAATTTCGACAAAATTCGTGGCAAAATGAATTTGCGACGAAATTAGCAACGGAAAAAAAATCGTCGCTAATAGGCCGTCGCAAAATTTTGCCACGGAAAATTCCAATTTTCGTGGCTAATTTCCGACGAAATTTTTTCGTCGCTAATTATTCGTGGCAAAATTCGTGGCTAATTTTGCAACGAAAAATAATTCGTCGCTAATTATTCGTGGCAAAATTCGTGGCTAATTTGCCACGAATAGTATTCGTGGCAAATATCCGTCGCTAATTTGTCACGAATATTATTCGTGGCCTATCCGTCGCTAATTTGCCACGAATATTTTTCGTGGCAAATATCCGTGGCTAATTTGCCACGAATATTATTCGTGACAAGAATCCGTCGGTAATTTGCCACGAATATTGTTCGTGGCAAATATCCGTGGCTAATTTGCCACGAATATTATTCGTGACAAGAATCCGTCGGTAATTTGCCACGAATATTTTTCGTGGCAAATATCCGTGGCTAATTTGCCACGAATATTATTCGTGACAAGAATCCGTCGGTAATTTGTCACGAGATCTATTCGTGGCAAAAGTCGTCGCTATTATTTTGATTTATTTTTTGGTCGCGAAATTGCGACGAAATATTTTCATGGCAAAAAGTCGTTGCTAATTATCACTTGGCTAATTTGCCAAAATTTTTTTTTTTTTTGCGACGAGTTTATTCGTGGCAAAATTCGTGGCTAATTTGCCACTGGAATTATTCGTGGCAAAATTCGTGGCTAATTTGCCCGAATTTTTTTTTTATCAGTATTTTGCCACGAAAAATTTTGACTATTGCGGTCGACATTATTCGAAAACAAATTTGGCGACGAATTTTAATGAATACTTTAGCGACGAATGTTGTGTAGGAACGATTTCGATTTGAAATCTAATTAACATTGATAGAAAATCACAGTCAAGACAAGAACAAACCCCAAAAAGAAAGAAATGAAACAATGTTCTAAATTAGCAAGTTCGAAAACTGTTGTGGCAAACTATTGATCTTGCCAAGAAGTTCTTTCACATTGCGGCAAACTATTGATTTCCAAGAATCGAAGTCCTGTCCATCTGCAGCGCAAACATCACAATATCAAACTCCTAACCCCTGTTAATTTTTTCACATCTATTCAATAGCAGAAGCACAAAGATATAAGTACCTCTTGGAAATTTAAACTAGCAAGGATCAGCATCAGCATCAGCATCAGCATCATCATCATCATCATCAGGAATCTCATTATCATCATCATTGTGGCCATCACCTACTGGATTAGTAGGAGGTACAGGAGGACCGTCATCAGCTTCGAGGTTGAGGTGTTGCATGATCAATTGCAAACGTTGGTTCACTCCTTTCATTTCTTCGTCCTACTGTACAAGTAATTGTTTCATTTCTTCGTCTTTCTGTACAAGTAACTGTTTCATTTCTTCATCCTTCTGTACCAGTAATTGTTTCAAGCGGTTCAATTCTTGGTCCGTTCGCTCCTCGTGTTGTGCCCTTAAAAAAGGGCACTGGAGGATGAAGTTGCAGTAGCCGGCGTTCTGTACATCCTTGACAAGGATCCCATCCCAAATATTTGACCTCTTCTCATTCCACCCGATGCCTCCATCCATAATGCCATACTGTCAACAGATGGCTCGGACGCAGCAGCACCATCACCATCACCATCACCACTAGCAGCAGCCGTGCTCATTACAAGTTCATCATATTTGTCCTACATTAACAATATTAATAAAAAAAAAATTCATATATATAAATACAAAATATAACCGTACATACCTTAATAACTTTTGCTCGATTGCCGGTCCATGTCTTATCTTTTTTCTGAAAGGTGCGTTCAAATGTAGCCATAAATGTTGGTTCCGTCCCCAATTCATCTGCCTACAAAATATAAACATAAATGAAATGAGTAATTATTGATTTAACTTTACAACATGTTTAAAAGACTTACCATTCTTTTTCTATGCTCCCGATATTAATAGAACCCCAAAGATATGTGGCGGACCCTTCACTAGAACTAGAAGCTCGATTCTTCTTATTAATTTCACTGATTTGCTTATGCTTTTCGGTGTCCCAAGTTCTTTTGATTTCCGCCCAATTGTCGGCTGTAATAAAATCCGGCTTTTCTAGTCTTTCTTTGCTCTATTCATCACATTTCGCATGTGATCACCGGCTTTCTTCTTAAAAATTCTTTTAACTTCTTTCTCTTCCGCTTCATCCCACCTGAACTTCCGCTGCAAGCAATCAATAGAAAAATAATTGTACGCTCAGTATGCTAAATCGAACTTAGTTTGTGAGGAAATAAAATGACAAAACTTACCTTGAACTCATTCCACCACAATTCCTTTACTTCTTTTGGAGCAGTGGTCCAACTACTAAACTGCCCCATCCAATAGTTATCGATTATTTTATTAAGTCTCCTCACAACATGCGTAGAATCCGTGAATCTGCAAACGGGTTATAACTTATTTCAACATACATAGCATCCGTAAAGCATACAGACAATTCAGTTGACATCCATAATAATTCACATATATTTAAAAAAATGAAATACTTACGAATCTCCAAATGGGGCTATCATGAATCGGGTATCTTCTTCATAATTCGAGTGTTGCGTTGAAGAAGAAGGTGGAACCGAAGGCGATGGAATTGAAGTAAATTCAGTTCGCATTTGAGAGTCAGAGGAAGGGCCAATGTATCCATGTACTAGTTGAGGGTTAGATAAAAGGGCAGGGGCAGGGGAAGCGGAAAGGGATGGGGATGAGGACGAGGAAGAGGAAAGGCCTGGTCTTCTTTGTGAAGCATCATCACGACGCATGTGACCTCCACGTTTACACTAAAAGGTGCAAGGTTAGACAAAAATAAAGAAAATTATGAACTTATATTAAGGACACATAATGACGTACGTCGTGAAGCTTACCATTTTGTTATTGAGAGCAAGAGAGATGGCCCCTGAAAAAAAGGAAGCTGTCCGGAAATGTCTACGAGCTAAATTTTTGGTCCTACAACGGTAAAAAAGGAAGAACTCATCTAGCTGGTCAGGGTCATCAAATTTTCAGTTAATTTCTGTAATTCGACTTGTTTTAAAATTTAATTGCATGTTTTGAAAGCCTTAGAACTTAATAAGTTACACTTTCACAACAAATTTTATGATGCAAGTAAATCACTAAGTTCTGTTCAAAATGAATATATCAACTTCAACAAGAAAATCAATAAGTTTTTACCTCGAAGAGAGCCACTCCAGAAAACCCAAATGTCACGGAAATAGTTTTACCCCGATGGCCAAAGCTTCAACCTAGGCCAAAAAAGGTTTGGAAATAGTTTTCAAACCTAGATAATGATAAAATGACTCCGAAACGAAAAAAAAAAGGCGGAAATGTCACGGAAAACACTATTCACCAGAATCATTTTTTGCCAAAAAACCCATCTAAACGACTCCAAAAGCCAAAAAATGGCTTGCATCACGGCCATAGGCCGTGAATTTCGATCAGCGGGCCGTTTCCACTTGACCGACCAAATTTCAACTCATTCCGACCACATTTCACCTTATTTCGACCAAATTTCAAACGAATTTCAACTCAATTTCAACCTAAATCCGACCAAATTTCAACCTAAATATGAGAAATTGATTATGTTTCGTTCTGTTTCGTGGGCGAACGAAACAGATTGTGTCTGTTTCGCCCACGAACAGAATCAAATTCGTGGGCGAAATAGAATGGTTCTGTTTCTGTTTCGCCCACGAATTTGATTCTGTTCGTGGGTGAAACAGACCCAACTGCTTTCGCACAGAAGCCAACACCCAACACAGAAGCGCCCACGAAAGCCAACACAGAAGCAGAAGCCGAAGCACAGAAGCGCCCACGAAACTGGTTTGTTTCGCACACGAATAGAACCAAATTCGTGGGCGAAACAGACCCAATCTGTTTCGTCCACGAACAGAACGAAGCAGACCCAACACAGAAGCAGAAGCAGAAGCGCAGAAGCAGAAGCAGATGCAGACCCAACACAGAAGCCAGCCAACACAGGTAGACGCAGACCCAACACAGAAGCCAGCCGACACAGAAGCAGAAGCACAGAAGCACATAAGCTTAGCAAGCGTAAAGCACGAAGCTTAGCGAGGCGAGCGCGAAGCGAAGCACGAAGCGAAGCACGAAGCGAAGCATAGAAGCGAAGCACGAGAGCGTAGCGGACCCAAACGTAGACCCAACACATACATTGAACGAAGCATAAGCAGAGGCAAACGCCTAGAAAAAACGGCGAAAAGCAGACCCAACAGAAGCATACCGAACACTCTCGGAAATTTCGTCGCAAATTAGCGACGACATTTATTTTTCGTCGCAAATTAGAAACGGAAAAACATTCGTCGGCAATTTCGTCGCAAATTAGCCACGAATTTTTTTTCGTGGCAAATTCCGTCGCAAATTCGCGACGAATGTTTTTTCGTGGCAAATTCCGTCGCAAATTAGCCACGAATTTTTTTTCGTGGCAAATTCCGTCGCAAATTAGCCACGAATTTTTTTCTTGGCAAAATCCGTCGCAAATTTTCCACGAATTTTTTTTTGTGGTAAATTTCGTCGCAAATTTGCGACGATTTTTTTTCCGTGGCATATTCCGTCGCAAATTAGCCACGAATTTTTTTTCGTCACAAAATTCGTCGGAAATTTGCGACGAATTATTTTTCATGGCTAATTTACGACGGAAAATATATTCGTCACAAATTGCATTGCAATTAGCCACGAAAAATAATTCGTCGCAAATTTCCGTGGCTAAATCCTTGTTTTTTTGTAGTGACAGGGCTAAGTTTGAGGAAATATTTGGTGAAAGTCTTCGAAGGCGAGGAGGTCGTCTCGGAAATATATTATATGATTGCGTGCTCTATAGATGTTGGACGTGTTGGACAACTTAATATATGTTCCACTGCCATTACTCTGTTATTGTGTTCCACTTGCCTGGAAGTCACCCACGGCCTTCCTTCATAACATTTCTTTTTTTATTTTTTTTCTTTTCATTTTTTTCTCTTCTTCCTCCTTCAAGTCTTCCATGGCTGTTGGCTCGCATTCAGCGTCTTCTTGGCAAGCTCTTGAGACCGGGCTATCCATGGCCATCGGGCTGCGAAACGAGCCATCGTTGCACGTGGCCATGGCTTGAGCTGATCTTCGTTCATCACGAACTCCTCCATGAGCCGGTAGTCATTATTCCGCTATCACTTCAATAGCCAAAGGTTGCACTTGGTCAACGGCGTAACGGTTGGGCCTCATAGCAGCCTCCGGCCCTTTCGATTCTGCTGCTTTCGGCCCGACGTTTGAGGGCAAGTGCCGCCGCTCAAACTTCTTCTTCTTGTCGGAACCGTGCTACTGCGGTTGCCGGACTAGCAATTCATGGTTTTCTTGTCGAGCTATCCCATGGCTCTTTGGGGGCTAAATCAAGTTATTGAGAAAGAGATCGAAGAGTTTTGGGATTAAGTTAAATATATGCTTTTGAGTGTAAAGAGAGAGACAACGGCTCGTTTAGTGCCGGTGGCCATGGACGGCTATCCGAAAAGTGGGCCAAGGCGACGCTTGAATGCCCATGGTCATGTAAGATGGCCAGATTTGGAGGTGAGCTTGAGACCGCAACTTCCCTCCAAGAATCAAGAAGATGAACAATGAAAAGATGGGAAAAAAAAGAAAAAAAATGACTATGGACAAAAATGCCCCTACTCGTGCTACCGGAATAAGCATATGTACTTGCCAACCGGGGAGCTTAATCTCTTGTTTGAGACCAAATGGCCACTTCGGACCCATATTTGAAATTAAACGGTTAGACCAAATTGAATTGCACGACGATTTTGTTCAGACTCATGTCCATCTTCATGATATGTCTAAGTTTGTTTTCGGTTCAATTGTCATATAGAGTCTTAGATCATTCCAAGCTAAGGTTGAGAAGCAACTTAGCTTTCTCGTTCTTTTGGAAATTGTCAAAATAAGTGCATAGGAAGTAACGCATTTGTGTCTCTATATTTCCCCTTTATGTCCATCGATGGTCTATTTGAGATTGTAATAGTGATTGCTTCAATAAAGAGATCAATGCCGTCCATATCTTATTCAAGGTTTTGACTTTGTCCGTGCATACACATTTATAAATGATATTGTAGGCCACGACAATCCTGGAAATAATTATCCAGCCGAAATTATGAGGTTTCAACCCGACATTTTGATTGTAGATGGAAAATGAGTGCAGGAAAGATTTTTCTTCTGGCCATACTAAAGAAAAAGTAAAGTTATCTGCAGAATTTAGTATGTCGGTAAAAAAATGAGAAATGTCGTCAGCAGTAATTTATCAAACTTGAATTTGATACTCTAAGGAAATTGACATATTGTGGTGAACTTCTCCTTTCAAGATAATGATGGAAACAAAGCGGTTCTTTTTTTATTTTTGGCCACCTAAGGGCCGGATGTATTAACAATCGCCCTGATGATTTCTTTAAATAGTCTCTGTACTCAATCACAAGACTGTTTTAAATCAGACTATTTAATAGGGTTGGACATTCTTTGCATGATACCCTTTTTGGAGTACAAATTCCGTTGATGTGGGAAGCAATATTTACTATTAGATAACATCCTTCCCAGTTCCGAATTGTACATAGTTTAATGTTATTGCACTCTGATTTTCCATTTATAGACATTTTAATTGAGGAATGAGTCCAATTATCCTGATCGTGTCATGAGAGAGAGAGAGAGAGAGAGAGAGAGGTAACAATCTTTTATTGGATACCAGTCGAGAGAGAGGTAACAATGATTTACTCGAAATCAATAATACATGTGGTATGTAGTTTAGTTATGTGTCTAACACAACCACTTATGGAAATAAGATTAATCTCGTAACTCTTATAATTCAATTATTTTGTGTAACTTATGATAGATTCATTTAGTTGTTGTCGTACCAAAATTGCGCCTGGAGATAGTCAACAACCTTCTTGTCCACTTGGAAGGCCTTGGTAAGAACATCAGCAGAAATGGGTGGCTTCGCTCCGAAGACAGCATTAGCAATGGTAATGACTCCTGGGTTCTGGCTGCTAAGACCGGAAAAGGCTAGCGCATACGTGTTTCCGATATTCAACTGGAAGTGAATGAGACCAATAGGGAACACAAACACGTCCCCCTTGTACAGGACTTTGGTGAAGAGTGTGTTGTTTAATTGATTGGACGTGACAAAGCCAACAAGTAGCGTACCCTCCACCACTACCAAAACCTCGGTGCCACGAGGGTGAGTGTGGGGAGGATTTAGGCCGCCAGGAGCGAAGTCAATGCGAGCCATGGATATTCCAAGAGTGTTGAGTCCTGGAAATTGGTCGACAAAAGCCTGTGTGACTTTTGATCCGAGCGGATTCGATGTGTTTCCAGGAGTTCTGAACCCCATAAAGACGAAATCATCAGCTGTGGTTTCTTTGGGATCCTTGCAGAACTTTCCATTCACAAATACTGCATAAGAAAAAAAATTGGCGTCTCAGTTTCGGCATCATAAGGCAGATATGAAATACATGACTAATGCAAGAATTGAGGAACCAACCTCCAGATTCCATATCACTGGTTGCCACGCATATGTCCTGAAGAGGACTCGGGTCGTAAGCTAAAGCGGCGGCAGTTGCTAAAGCCA